ACATGGAACTTATTTAGGCCCTTGCTAGATGGTGCTTTAAGCACTTCTAATCGGATGGTCTCATGTCTTTCTAGAAAATCCTACAGTGTGAAAGGGAATACAAAAAAATAGTAAATATGATCATACTTAACCTTGCATTTAAATGACCAAAATGATTTTAACATGAAGTTATAAGCAAGTTTTAAAGAAATTTAATGCTGAAGCACCTAATCAAACTCACAAAAGAGCATTTAACGTCAGCAGTTCTTATCTGGCTTCATGCCCTAATGTCACCCTAATGAAACTGAGTCAGTGATTACACCAGGGAAGTACAAAGTGACTGTTACATCAAAGAACTCTTATAAACACAAGCCAGCAATAAAAATGTGCAAAATATTGTATCCATATTATATCACATTCTGAACTCCTCCTCTGACCAAACTAACCAAACAAATGCTAAGGGAGAACATGCACTAGCGCCAAAACAAAGAAAATCCAAACCTGTATGAGACACAAGCAACTTACTCACCGTTGAAGACTCAGTGACGTTAACAGTTGCCACTGAAAAGTACAATTGGAACAGCTTTTGAAGGTTATCTACACAATTGGTAAAAACAGCTGTACACCAAAGTGAATAGTACTGTGTGGGAAATGATCTTTGGCCAATGAAAATTTGACTGTGTGGTTTTAAATTTCGAAGTTAAATTCACCATTGAAGTCTCATCTTGGTTTAGAAATATAAAATGACATATTACTGCATTCTTGCTAGATCCACTCAGAATGTAGACTCCACTCCCCTTTTTGATCATCAGTCCAGTTCTTAACAGAGATGTAACTGCAATGATGCTTTTTTATTACAAAGATCACAAAATCCACCATCACAACTAGCACCTTGGCTGGTGGTCCCAGAAGTGCCAAGGACAGAGTGGGTATAGAGAATTAATGCACTCCAAGCCCAGATTCCTCCAGCATTAAACCTAGTGCCTTGATTTTGCTATATTCCCTCATCTTCTATACATAGACAAAATCTTTTACTGTAAGAAAATAACTTCTGATCCACTGTTTCATTTGCATTTAATTCATTCAGTAACTAAAAAGTTGTTAGCATATAACATTGGTTTACTAGAATCTGTATGTATTGACATAAATTGTATTATTATATTCATTTCAGTAACTTATTTTAGATTTTTCTTTTGACACACTGATGTTATTGTTCTAAGGAACGAGTTATGCCTACTACAGCTGAGTCTATCCACAAGCTGGATATTTTCAACATATGCCTTGAAACTTGCATAACCAAATGCGACCAAAGGCCATGGAATTCCAGCCCCCAATTGCTCTCTGAAACACATATATACATCCCTGCAATGGAGGACAGGAAGAGTTAGAATTAGATCATTCCATGGGGCCCATCAGCACACAGATCTCGTCCTTCTTCCATACCACAATCCTCCCCAATATCCCTCCGAGAAACCTTAGTGGGGGTTGCTGTGCATGGGGAGGTGGATGTGTTATGTTCATTGTTTTTCTCTTCCTCTCTTGCACCCACCCACGCATCCTTGGCAGCGTGGTGGGAGATTCTAGAGACTGTGGTGAGTAGGAGTGTCTCTGGTAACATACCTGCAATGAAGCTGTGCTGCCTGGGAGCTGGAGGAAGGCACCCAACATTCTGTTCTGGAGACAGACCACCTCCATGTGAACGGCTGTGACCTCCAGCAGAACCCCCAAGATCTAAGAATTCAGAGGAAGACCTTCCCCCCACTCTTTCTGTGAATCTCACAGGAACAATATATTGGAAACTGAGGGAATATTTGTGCAGATGTTCTTGCTCCTGCTCCAGGTTTTTCCATGAGAGTGGTGATCTGGAAATTAATGCTGAAGGGCTCAGTTCTGCAGGCCCTAAACAAAACTTCCATTAAGGTCCATAGTTTGAGCTGGGACTGCAGGATCAGGACCCAAATTTGTTGCAATACTTACTTTTGTATCATTGTATTTTTGTAGAAACAGTCTTAAGCTGTAAATTCATTCTAGAATGTTTCAGATAAATAGCTTTTTTCATTCTCAGTGTAACATATGGGCAAAACCCAGGTTTCATGGCTAAATTTGGATGTTCTTCAAACTTGCATTTTCCTTTTTCATATCCATGTTATATTTTAAAAACTGGACTGCATTAAAATGTGAAAAAATTATACTCACCATCATTCACACGTCTGCAATGGATGCATCAACAACAGTTTTAGTTTTCTAAATGTTAGTCAGGAGCGGCGCCAGGGTTTTTGCCGCCCTAGGCGGCAGCACTCCTCCTCTGAGCATTCAGGGGGCCTGGGGTCTTCGGCGGTGGGGGTCCTTCCGCTCCGTGTCTTCGGGGCACTTCAGCAGCGGGTCCCGGAGCGAGTGAAGGACCCGCCGCCGAATTTCCGCCGAGGGCAGCAAAATGCCGCCCCCCAAATCCTGCCGCCCTAGGCGACTGCCTAGGGTCACCTAGTGGAAGTCCCGGCCCTGGTTACAGTTACTAAGTAGACATGCAGTGGCCTCTGGACTTAAATTGTGTCAGTTGCCCATTAAGTCTGATGTATAAAGATATTGAAATGAGTACCTTGAATCTAGTTTCAAAACTACATTCTGGAATCATGTCTGAATAAGATCTTGTCTACACAAGAATGTCACAGCAGTTTAAATTAATTCCTGAATTGATTTAGTTAGACTGGTGCAAGTGCCTTTGCAGACATCCTTATTTCAGTTTATGATGGCTTGTTTTAGGTTATCTTAAAACAGATTCCTAATCGACCTAAGCTAAACCCAAACAAGCATGCCCATACAAGGGTTTGCTCTGGCTTAACTAAATCAGTTTAAAGTTATCCCTCTAGTCAACCCATTGAAACTTCCTCATGTAGACGACATGTTATCTGGTTACCTATGATTTTGATAGCCAAAATACACCTCTACCCCGATGTAACCCTGTCCTCAGGAGCCAAAAAATCTTACCGCATTATAGGTGAAACCGCGTTATATCAAATTTGCTTTGATCTGCTGGAGTGCGCAGCCCCGCCCCCCCGGAGCCCTGCTTTTACCGTGTTATATCCGAATTCGTGTTATATCGGGTTGCGTTATATCGGGGTAGAGGTGTAATCAGTTTTTTACAACATGTGCAGAAGCAGCCAGCTAATCTTAGGCAAAAAGTCTTTCCAAAGCCCACGTCCCTGAGAGGAGACCAAAAAATCCCTTTCTAGGTAAAACTACCCTTCAACCATGGTCCCCAAACAAGAAACACCAGTATTTAATACACATTCAGTCAGTAAAGGAGCAAATATATTCTAGTTTTATTTGTAAAATATTCTTTCCTAAGGGCAAAATACATTTTACAAAAGTTAGCAAAAATTGGTACAATTATGAGGAAACTATTACTATTTTTTGTTCAGTTATTTGGGTCTCTTCAAAATGGAAGATAGAGGTACACACCACATTGACAGAATTCAGTGCTAGTTAGCTAAGTCTATAAATATGCCATTCTGACATTTACATCTGTGGATGACAGTGGAAAAATTCTCTACAAATACTGAAAAAAAAATCTAAGCATTTTTGGTATTTTTCTGATTTTTGTAACTGGAAATACCTACAGACTAGATTCTAAAACTGTTGGTATTTTGCAAGGAGGATCCTAACTAAGAATAATGATAGAGTTGTTCTTGTTTATGACCAACAAACTATTTCAAATGTTAATTTGAGGACTAAACAATAATGGCATAAAATCTATAGTGAAAATAAATCCATTCAAATGATTCATTTAAGCCTAAATGTATATACAGTCATGTAAAAAATGGAAGGAAAGTTATTTTCTATTCACATATTTATTATGGCTATTACAGTCAAGTAATTTCCAAAATAAGATGCTTTACTAACATATTATATATAAAATCTTATGGAGAAGGGAGGAAAAAAGGAACATATGTAACTATTTCTGAGGGACAAAGTTCCAGCAATCCTGATTAACTTGGAGACAAACAATGTCTGAAAAGAGAGTCTGCATTTTCACCTTTCAGGGTATGACTTTGTAAGGTTGGGATGTCCCAAATGCTTCTAACTACTAACAACCTACAAAAAACAGAGCAAATATGCTTGATAGTTCACACAAACTGCCCAGAAACCTAAAAGTTGTGACTATTATAGGTGAGTCTGGATAGGTGTAACAATTGTCATCTTAATAATGACCCAGGATATACAGAGCTAAAGCATGAGTCTCTTTAGCTTGAGCTAAAGGACCAATGGCTTGATGCCATGCCCAATGAAAAGCCTTCCATTGCCTTCATCGGTGGATCAAGGACCCAAGTTCTCTAGCGGGAAGCTCAAACAGACTCCTATCCTCGATGGATTAGACACAGAGGGGGACATGTAACAAACACGGAACAATGGGTTATGTTGGTATGCTAGTCCTTGATTATCCTTTCAAAAGGATATATTTTGTACTTTACATTGAGTAAAAGAGAACCAGAATATATAGACAAAAATATTCGTTTTTAATATTCATTCCAGACAAGAGCCACCCATCGGGAAGAGGAAAAATATTACTTACCAGCAATTGTATTTGTTGTAGTTGCCCTCATCTTCCCTTATCCTACAACAAAATCTCTGCTGTAGGATGGGAGAAAAAACCAAGATGTCTGACAACTCAAAATGGTGCAATACCAATCACACTCTCCTTTCTATGTTATAAGTTTTTTCAATTATATTATCCAGCTGTTAGAACAAGTTTCCTTCCCCAAACATAACAAGCTTGACCCAGATAGCTTTTAAATCCTTATTCTTTTGTTCAGGGGGACAATCATTTTCTCTTTCCTGTTCTGTGCCGTGTACTTCCTCAAGGCAAAATGATCTCTTCTGGGGCCAATAGTTGTCTGACAAGCACCTACTTTCAGTGAAGTGCCCATCATGCAACCAACTATGAATGGAGTAAGGCATCTCTATGATGGGAATGAGTGCCAGTGGCTCAAGAAGGGAGGGACCCCAAGTCTTCCGCCATTTTGGCCTCGTGGAGTATATTATATAGTGCTGGGGACAACCCGACAAGATTGGCTTCTGGATAGTATTTTGAACAACCTACAGCATGACTGCAGCTAGGTGTCAGATGGTTGTAAGACATGTAGCATTTTAGTCTGTAAGGTTGATAGTGTCACTTTCATACGGCTTTACTGAAGTAGGGCTTTGCGGAGGACTCTTTTCACTTGATGGCGGTGTGGCCAAAACTTTCTTTTGGACTCCAATTGCAGCCTTCTTATGGTCATGTCTAAGACTGCGGATTGTACTGTTTATGGCAGCCACACATGCTTTCCAATCATATCCAGTTTCCTTTAGATCAAAGGATGGGTAGTTCTCTTGAAGAAAGTCTAAAGATAAATAACCAGATAAGTAGGGCATTATCATCAATTATTTATGCAAGCTCTGTTTTGCTTGCATGTTTTATTTGGACACAACTGGGCCAAAACAAGTATTCAGAAGTGCATTCTCCCAGTACAGAATACAGTCAAACTCACCATTAAGTTACAAGGGTCAAAGCTAGACTGATGATGAAGTCTATTTTTAAAAAGTTATTGGAAAAGTTGAAATACATAAAAGTGACTAGATGGCCTAGGGAGATAACATGTGGACAGGGTTTGTTTTGTTTTGTTTTTTAATCTAGCAGAGATCAGGAGTTGGGGTAAAAATATATCACCCCTTCATTCCTCCCACTGGTTGTGCCTCTAATCTCATGGCAGTTTCACGTAATGTTTCAGAAGCTGCATGATTTATTATGGATACAAGGTTAGTAATTTTTATTTATCTCCAGCCCATCTTTTGAAGAGAGTTTAGCTGTGCATACCTCTGAGAGCATTGATCCTGTTGCAGTCCAGTGGACACATGCCACGTTCCAGATTACCATACACATTGCTCTTCACCAATACATCTTCTGTGAAGAGATGGCGAATCAGATAGCGAGCGGACAACTCTGGCCGAGACTTCCCCTTGGCTACATAAATAACTGAGAAGGGCAACTGAACATTGCGCCATGGACTCCCAAGATGTTCTAGAGAGGAAGTTGGAGAGATAAATATTTTATTTTCATTGCAGAAATGGTATTTATCATGCTTTCAAAGGACCACATTATACTAGAATACAATTTTTTCCCCCCTACACTACTTACTTGGAATGGCCAGAAGAAATAACTTAACATTATATATATATATACACACACACACACACACAGCATCTTTCATTCTGAAAGATCTCAAACCACTTGACAAACTTTATATAAGATCTGTAAAAGCAGCAAAGAGTCCTGTGGCACCTTATAGACGTGAGATCCAGACTAACACGGCTACCCCTCTGATATATAAGATATGTGCACACTCATGAAATGAATCATTGTAGTTAGAACTAAAATTCAGCAGCTCTGGGATGGAATAATGATACCTAGCTAGGCAGACAACCAGTGTGCAACATACTGAATGTTGAAGAAAGGAAGAAAAATTTTAGCAAAGGACATGAAGCAAGCCCTGGTCTTACAAAAAGCATCATGGGATCCTCAGAAATCAAGGTCCTATCTGTGTGACCCTTACAGTTGCTCCTTGAAGAGTCTTACATGCAGTAATGCATAAAACTCCATGTATCTAAATGGTTGCAATAATGCAGGTAGAACCTGGGATTTGGGAACACTAGGTATTTTAAACACAATGGCTTAGATTTGCAAGCCACCCCAAGCAGCCAAAAAGATTATTTCAAATATATATTTGCTCTGCTGTACAGGATCATAACAGTCGTCTTTGTTACGCTTTCAGAAATGCTAGTTATGCAACTGGACTTGCTTCCGGACTGCTTCCTGTACTGTTATTTCATCTAAAAAAAATAAATAAATAGTCCTTCCAAGAAATAAAACCAGTGCTGCTTTCTGATAGTATTCAAACCTTGTGGGTGGAGAATGAAAATAGAATGAACATTCTTCTATATTACTCTGAAACTACTTAATTTCAATGAAGAAGCGAGCCACACACTGAATAAAATGTACATTATATGTAGCAAAAGAATAGTCAATTACGAGACCTGTTGAGTAAGAGGGTCCTGCCACCTCTTTCGTGGGCTGCTCAAGCCCTACACAAGTCCCACCCAATCAATTGTCTCCCGGGGAACTGGCCACAGAGAATTTCCCCCAGAGCTCTCTATAGCCATTACATGCCATGTAGTATCATGTTTTACTGCTGTATTTATAAACTGTGCACTTTTATTAATGGAAGAAAATAAAACAAATTTTAAGGCTGCTTTTGGGATTATTTGGAAATTGTTATAAAGTTTAGCACAGTGACAGATCTGCCTGTTAGATTAGGATATAGAAAATTTCTCTGCCTCTTTAATATGCCAAGCTGCCTTGGAACATCTATTATTTCTCATATAAAGTGGGAAAATAGGGTAATAATGCATGAACTCCTGAAATGCTAGATGGACTATTTCACAGATGAGATTGCCAATCTAATTATTCAGCAAAAGTGCAAATGTGTTTGTGATAAAGACATGGGTGGAGGGGAACACAGGTGATCTGTTGCCAGAGTCTGTTTGGCATGAGGGGACATACTACCTATACTGAGGGATTATTTTGGGAAAAATGGAAAGCAGTCCTGTAGGTCAGTAAACCCCATTTACCACTGTGTAGGATTCAAGGCGCTGTATATCACAAATGATTTCACTTACCTGTACTTAAACTAGCACAGTAGTTTTGGAATCTTAACATCTGCTACTTCTCAATCAACTGTATAAAATGCAATTTGTGTTAATCCAGAAGATGAAAGTCTCCTAACTTACCCATTGGTTCCAAAGACTGTAGTTTATTGGATGAAGGTGCATGGAACATCTCAGGGACTTTATCCCATGTGGTACTCTGAAGTCTGTTTGTTGTTGAGCTGGTCATTTTCTGAGAGGATTGAGAATTGACGTCACTATCTTCCCCATTATAGTTTAAATCCACACAAATAGATGTGTCTGGAGTGTCAGCAGGTTTCTCCTTCCCTTCAGTAGTCTCCTGAAACACACAAATGGGGTTAATGAATGCTTTGGGAGAAGTCTACCCGTTTTCCAGTTAAGTGTATCAAATGATTTCCATATTATTAAGAATTAGATTCCACAAATTTGAGAAATTGTTAACCATACGTTTCAACCACAAGAGCCACATGTCAGCCACTTGTTGAGGTCCTTGTGTAATGAGGCACTTTGGAAGCTGAGTTGCATGGATTTCCAGGTGTTCTTGGGGTGAAACACCAGTGTGATGCAAAGGCTGGAAATATGTGACCAGATGTGGGAAGGCCTATGAGAGTATACAGTGGAGGTATAGTCTTGGGGAAGCATACTCTGAAACTAGACACACTGAAGACCCAAGGGTTGCAAGGTGGAGAGGAAAAATGGATAAAGTGAGAAATGCTGGAAGTTACGCCAGAGATACTTTGGGTGGAACTGTGACTATTATCCGTGAACAATACGAAGACCGACGACATCCTTGGTTTGAATTAAAGAGGCCAGGAGAGCTATAGTGTAGGTAGAGTAGTTCTGATCCTTTTATTGCACCCAACACAAATCTCAGAGATACTACTTCCCAGGGAAACCTCTATAGCTAGCTGAACAACTGCAGCATTGAATTCTGCCCATCAAAATAACGGTTTAACTTGTAAGCCATCTTTCCAACACTGTTTTGAGCCCCTAGCTATTGCAACACAGTTCAGGATATGGGAGTGAAATAATTGTTAAGGCTTCTGGGAAAGGATCCTGCTGTACAATTATTTAGAGTAACAGAAGACACTGCTGAAGTCAGTGCAGATTGTTTTGGAAGAACATTGACTGAAGGGGTTTAATAGATGGGGATAACAGGGAGTTTTCATTCAATTTACAATAATGTTAATCGACTATAAATTAATTGGTAAATAAATTCCAGCGACATGGAGACAGTCTACTGTCCATCAATAGGTTAAGATAAATTTGTGTGTCCCTAATAGTAGTGGTATGATAAACAAAAGGGTAAACACTTTCCATTAGTTTAACCAAACAAGGGCACTTGCAAATGGTTTTATTTAAACAGTTTAATAGTGAAAAATGTAAGAAATAAAATACTTATTAGTAACAGTTCTTAAACAGCAATTTTCGCTAAAGGTTTTTTGTTTGTTTGTAACTTTATTTGTTTAAGTAAATATTCATGCATGACCATTAAAAGTGTGTTTGAGTTGATCCTTAATGAAGAGCTCTTAAAAATAAATTCTAACAAGGGATAATCTGCACTATTGATAGAACTCAGAAGGAGTGGGTAGCTAGTTATACAGGGCCCCAATTCTGCAAAGATTTATGCATGTTCTTAACTGGTTAGATGACTGGGAATAATTCAGATCACACAGGCCTTCTAATAACTAGCTACTTAGACTTTGGTAAGCTTGGTAATTATTCTATAAAATTACTACAAGTTGCAACAAATTTTACTACCTATCAGCAAATATTACTGTATTTTCATTTTAGGATTTTGCATGTGTGTGTCTTTTGTTAATATTATAAAATATAAAAATGCTGACACTGTTCCACACATACCATTGTGACTGGAGTCAGCGGAGCTGTGTTGAACCATGACAAAATAAGTCCCAAAGAGTCTTAAATTATGGGGCTCACGTGGTGAGGTACTTACTTATACATCTAATTCTGTAAGAAAACATTTACTCTCTCATTAATAACTATTACACCTGGAGATGACTTACTGGGTTTATTTTGGTTTCACAGCGTAAGCAGCGGATCATGGCATTGACGTTTGTGATGCAGGTTTTCCAGTCTCTTCCATATTCACTCAGGTCATAATTTGGGAAATGAGTTGCAAGAAATTCTGCACACAAAATGTAGGAAGTCTTTTAAACTATGTAATAATAAAGAAGCACTAAAAAGAACTTTAGTCAAATAAGTGAATAAGTGAACACAATGAGATCAATTTCAAGTGCTTACCAAGATTTGTGAATGAGTTTTCGATTTTAGCTTATATTAAGGAAATGTATGGTAGACTGGTACTTTCTATATAGGCAGCAGTATACTTCTGCATCCCATTACAAAACTGAGATGCATCAGAAAAGTTTCCCTGTACCTGATAAGGAGCATTTTCTTTATTCAATATTTCTTAGTAGATACATGGAAATTGTCAAACAAACTACCTGACTATAAATAGAGATGACAGGACTAGCAAAGGGGCTAACATACATCATTCTATTATTCATATGAACTGTGATTTGCTTTCTGCCCAGACAGAATAAATGAATGCCTGATTTGTGATCTTACAAAAAGGAGTAGCTAGTGTATGCGTAGGTGGGCGCATGTGGGTTTGGGGCTGGGAAGGGCATTTCTCAAAATGTTGCCACCCTCACCACTTTTCAAACAAGGAAGAAATGGAGGGTTAGGAGAAAAATGCTGACATGTCCATTAACTTGTGTCCTATGTGTGTTATGGCCTTATAATACAAAATGAATATCATCAGCTCTGATTGATTAATGAGAAAAATATGAAATTAGAGTAATCAGAGAAACTACCATAAATATTGAAAGAGTTTACAATGAGCATTTGAGGGTAACTAGATAAAAAGTTCCCCACAGATCCCAAAGGTGCAGAATCGAGCAATATTCACTACCAGTAATGTAATAGTTGCTGGATAATGAGTCACAAAAAGGTAGATTGAAGGACACAATGTAAGGGTCATAATTTAAGAATCCAAGAAAACTGCTAAGGAAGAAAAGTGAACTCTACATGTTTTGTAAGTTAGCATACCTCTAACCGCAGCAACCTTGTTAGGATCCAACGTTCTGCGCCCCCGGGCACTGACACCCATAATGCTACACAGCAAGGTTTCCTTGGGGAACAAGACACGGACTAGGTAACGTGCTGCGTACTTCGGTTTGGTCTTTTGTCGGGCTTTCATCAAATAGTTTCCAAGAACCTTTACATTTCTCTTTGGGTCACCAACATATTCTTTGTAAAGCAAAAACATTTTTTAAAAGATTAGCACAAATCTGTTAAAAGAAGGAGCTCTTCCCCAAACCAATTTCTCTCTTTACCTTTATGACATAGTAAACTCATATTTCCTAACCTTTCATTACGAAAACTAGATCGACTATATATTATCTATCTTTGCACTTACAGGAGACGCAGAAATAGCTTCCATCAGTATATTCTGACTGAATTAGCGTTCTTAGCTCACTCGTATCAAGCATCCAAAACTGATTAAATAATAGTAACAGCATTTTTTAAAAGCATTTAAATGTGTAAGACACAAGAATGACCTACTATGTGCAGATACTTGCATACACATTTTCAAGAAAACATCTCATGAAGGTATCAGGTGTGAGTGTCCATTTTATTAGGTGTGCACAAACAGAAGTTGAGGCACCTTTGAACACTTTACCAATTATTTATATTACTCTAAAAAATAAGTGAATCTGAATGTGATTGAAAACTCAAAAAAAAAAAAAAAAAAATGCTGCCTTCCGCATGACTCAGGGTATATGTACATCATGAAGGGACTTAACATCTGCCTGTGTCATGTGTACTTACCTAGAACATAAGAACGGCCCTACTGGGTCAGACCAAGGGTCCATCTAGCCCAGTATCCTGTTTTCTGACAGTGGCCAGTGCCAGAGGGAATGAACAGAACGGGTAATCATCAAGTGATCCATCCCCTGTCGCTCATTCCTAGCCTCTTATGGTGAAATGGTTCATGGAGATCTTTTTGGTGATCCACAGAATTAAACATTTTGGAAAAATAAGTAATGGAGCATTTGGGGGTCTCTCTTACAAAAGAGTCCACAGAATGAAAACATTAGAGAACCTCTGCCTTATCCCATTCAAGAATTAGCATTCCTTACACACAAAGCAATTAAGTTGCTTTCTCAAATGAAGAACATACTGTAAGTTATGTTCCACACCTCGCTTTATGGATGACATATTCTTTATATAATTATCATAAGTATTTATTATATACAAGAATATTTAGTTTTCACATGAAAGCATTACCAAGGAAATCCTTAGATTTAGAGAAACTCCAATATGCTGCACTTCCATTGTAATGGCTGCTGAGATTTTACTGTCGCATATTGGCTCACTGTACTTGCAGGGAGTCCTTGCTGTTCTGTACCACTGGCAGCATGAAAAAAGCTTGTATCAGTAGGACAGTGAAAGAAGAGGGCTCATTAATGCAATCCTGAAGCATTATATCTGCTGCTAAGATTTGTTAAAATGCCCAAGTTATTCTGCACATCAGAATAATCAGTAACATGGAAGACTCAACTGAGTATTTGTTAGTACAGTGTACATACTAACTTTTTGAATATTTGACTTCAAGTTTTAAAGTGACTTCCTGTATATCATGCACACCCAACAGCTTTATTCAGAAGGCTTTAAATATTAATCCACTTTTAAAATGCAAAAGGAGAAAGTCAGCTCTGCTCATTTATTTTTGTTAAAGAAAAAAAATGGAGCGCCTTATGCATGCATTTTATTCACTGTAATTTTCCACTCTACTATACTCAGCATATGTGACTTGTAACTCACCAAAACTAGGATTGATAGAGACAGAAGAAGATGGCAGTTCTTTACTAATATTCGCACTTCCCGATGTGGCCCTGTAATTCATCATCATGGTGTTTCTCCCCAAACTGGTTTCAGATGGGGTTGACATCACCGACGACACCATTGGGGAACCCACCGCTGAAGATGCTACATTGGCAGTGCTTTCCATGACTGTGGTTACAAGACTTGGTTGTGGAGGAAGGTCAGGGATCCTGTTAGCCACTGTGTATGGTGGATGCAGTGAGTGAGTGGAGACTATAGTGGGTAGGGGTGGGCTTTGCCTAAGCAAAGGTTGTTGCGATTCAAGTTGAAGAGTTTGTTGAACAGGTTTTATTGCAGAGTTGGCCTGGAGATGGCTCTTTTGTAGCCTAACCCTCATTGATGGGCTAGGCCCTCCTTGTCCTGGGGGAGAGATATGAAGACTTGACTCTCTTTCCATTGGTTTCTGTACTCTAATTTTTCCATGGGGTAAATGATTGGAACTTCTGTACGTAAATCCAATGGGCCTCTGCAAATGTGATAGGAAAACAATAATTAATGTAAAACTACACAAATCTGTTTTTTTTTTTCTTCATGAACAAGAGAGATTAGATCTCAGCCTAAGCATCTGGCATTAACTATAGTCTTTTCATAAAGATAGCTCTGACCTCTTGACCATGAATCTAACTATTGCATGTTTTTCGGTCTCTGTCGTCATGGGTTTCCACAGTCTAGACACCAACATAGCATTCTTCTCTTGTGTTTGCATCCTGCTCCTAAAGTTCTTCCCAATCACCTGCTAGCATAACATTCCTTCAAGAGCTAAATAAGTAGCTGAGGAACAGACTGTACATATATTAGTAGTTGATAATGGGCATATTTTTGTACAATATTTGCTGAAAATTTCATCAGTTGGTGTCACCAACCTGCTGAGCTATAAGTTGCTGCTCCTGCATTAAAGGAAAAACATTTGGTTTTGCACCTTTTATTTTGGTTGGCTTCTTTACAATGAAGTAGGGCAGAAAAGTTTTGTTTGGTCTCAGCCTGACACCCTTTTATCTGTTTGATGCATTAGAAGTGCAGGCCCTATTTCACCTGGAAGACTCCATGACGACTGGAAATGATTTGTAAAGTGATGACATTAAAGCAGCAGTGGGCAACCTGTGGCCCGTCAGGGTAATCCGCTGGCGGGCCACGAGACAGTCTGTTTACATTAACTGTCCGCAGGCACGGCTGCCCGCAGCTCCCAGTGGCTGCAGTTCACCATTCCCAGCCACTGGGAGCTACAGGCGGCCATGCCAATGTAAGCAAACTGTCTGCAGGTTGCCCACCACTGCATTAAGGGAATAAAACTGGAGCAATTGAAAGAAGAAATAAGTGTTACTAAAAATTCTTTAATTTCAATTAACATTTTGGAGAAAGAATGCCTTTGTGAGACTATTAAACAACAACAGTTATGGAATAAGCGCTAAAAATATACATCCTCCAAGATACCCAACAACTCTTACAGCAAAAACAGGGGAGGTCAGAAATGACAACAAAGATTTGTGGCCTGGAAAACATGTTTTACTATCAGAGACTAAAGGAGCTCAATCTATTTTGTTTATTAAGGAGAAGTTTAAGAGACAACTTGACCATGGCCTAAAATTACCTACCCATGGAGAAGCTATCTGAGACTAGAGGACTCTTTAGTTTAAAAGCTGAAGTCAGTAAAGTTCGAACTGAAAATAAATGTAATTTTTAACAGAAAGAATAATTAGCTATTGGAACAGATGATACAGGGATGTGATATATGTTCCATCACTTGAAGTCTTTAAATCAAGACTAAGGCCCAGATCCACAAAGGGACTTAAGCACCTAAACCCCAGATTTAGGTCCCTAAATCCCAGTTTTAGGCAGCACTGCAATCCACAAACTCCCCTCCACTGCCACGTAAACCTGCGGGTTCCTAAACTCACCTCAGCACCTAAATTTTCAGGATAAAAGTTTCCCTGGGGCCTATGTTTCTGGGTGTGCACACTGCTGCCTCACTCTGTGTGTCCAGATGTCTATTTCCTATCTAAGCCCAGCGTGACCCATGAAGCAGGGGAGGACATCATCTATCTTCCCTGCAGAGCCTGGTCCGGTAGGCGTGCTCTGAGCACACCTATTGGATCAGGACTGATTCAAAATCCAGGAGGAGGAAGAGGAAATGGAAGTGATGGTACCCACTTTATAACTTTTAGCACAGTAGTTACAGCACTCAGCCAGCATATGGGTGACCTAGATTCAATTCTCCCCCTCTCTGCCAGAGGGGGAGTGTGATGGGGTGTACAAGCCCTCCACACTGGAAAGAACGGGGCTAAAGAGCTACTCTGGGCCCAGCCAGCCTTGCCCCAGAATACCCACAAAGTCTGCACAAGCTAGAGGAGGAAGTTAAAAAGAGGAGCAGAGTAACTCAGTGGCAAGCAGATAATCAAAGTGAGCTGGCCTACACCCTTGGAAAGGAGCACCACAGGAGCTCTCGCTGCCTGAGGCATGGTGACAGTGACCTGACCAAGCCTATAAAGAAGGGACCTGTGACTCTCTGAAGGCAGAGACTTTATTTGTGTTTTAGCTATTTACTTCACCCTGGAAGAAGAGAGGGACAGGTAGGAAGTATCCAGGGAGTTGGCTGCATAGCACCTCAAGGTGCAGGCCTTAGCTGGCTATCATTGGGCCCTGGATCAGAGCCCAGTGGAGAGGGTAGACCCAGGCTTCTCCTACCAACCCCTAAAGTGGGACAACTATGAAAGTCTGTCCTTTGGCAGAGAACCTAATTGGGGGAAGACCGTGAAGGTACAAAGGTCCAGACCACAAGACTCCAGGGGAAGTCCTGAATCCCTCACTGAATTCTGAAGACTTCCCCATTATTAGACTCCTGATACATAACCCAAAAGGGGTGGACTGAAAGTGTGACCTGGCTGGAGAGCTGAGTCACTAAAAGGACAGACTGCTGCAGGGTGGAGCTGTAGTAAGAAAGGGGTCTTCCTCTTGGGCATCCAACTTGCCACACCCCTGCACGGCCACTAGGCAGCACTGGTGGTGAGCGTTCCCCTTCCCAGAGAGAAGGAATTTGAACAGGAGTATCCAGCTCTCAGGAGAGTGATCTAACCACTGAGATATTCCGATTTGGGCTTTTTTCAGTCTCTCCTATTGATGCTGTTCTACTGTGTATAAACAATGAAATAGCTATTGGAACAGGGGGACTGCACCCTCAGTCTCCCACCTCCCAGGTGGGTGTGTTAAACCCCTGGACTTCACTCTGTGGTCCAATGACTCTGTACTTATCCAAGGTGCAACGGCTACAACAGGACAGATTGAGGGAACCCCACATCAGAATATCCTATAGCTCAGAATTAGAACACTCTTCTAAGAGGTGTGGGAGATCCCTGTTCAAATCCTCTCCCTCAGGCAGATGGGGGAATTGAAAGACTGTCTCCCACATGAGTTCTATAACCACCAGTCTAAAAAGTATAAGGTGGGTGGCACCACCACCTCCTGCCATCTCCCTCCATTTGTACAGAGTAAGGCAGGCCCCTAACTCATTCCTTCAAGAAATGGTTTCATAGATTCCAAGGCCAAAAGGGACCACTGTGCTCATCCAGTCTGACCTCCTATATAACACAGACATAGAACTTCCCCAAAAGAATTCCAAAGCATATCTTTTAGAAAAACATCCTATCTTGGTTTAAAAATTGTCCAACATGGAGAATCCATCACAACCCTTGGTAGATTGTTCCAATGGTTAATTTCCCTCACTGTTAAAATGTGCAGCTCATTTCCAGTCTGAATGTGTCTAGCTTCAACTTCCAGCCATTAGACTTTGTTGTACTTTTCTCTGCTACACTGAAGAGACCATGATTAAATATTTATTCCCTATGTAGGTACGTATAGTCTGTAATCAAGTCACCCCTTAACCTTTGGCATTAACTGCAGTCTTTCTGATTTTTTTTAATTAAAATGTTGTGTGGCACCAAGTCAAACACCCTACAGAAGTCTAAGTCTATTATGTCAACACAGTTACCTTTATCAATCAAACCTGTAATCTCATCAAAAACATATCAGGTTAGTTTGACAGGATCTATTTTCCATAAATCTATATTGATTGGCATTAATTATATTACCCTCCTTTAATTCTTTGTTAATCAACTCCAGGAAAAGGGGACCCAGCTGTGGATTATTAAGAGAGATAAGCGCCTAAATCCAGGCTCCAGGGAAGCACCTATCTCTGTAAGAGTGGTAGGGTTTCGCACACATCCTGGTCATTGGCTTCTCCCATTGGTTACATGCTGGCTTTGTGGTTCGCATGCTAGGACACCTATCTTTCCCCAGGCTTTGTGGATCCCATTGTTGTTCCTAGGTGATTTCCTAGGTGCCTAAAGTTAGGTCCCACAGTGTCTAGCATCCATTTGGGCCTGGATGTCAATCTAAAACATACGCACTAGTTCAACCACATGTTGTTGGGCAAGATGCAGGAGTTACCAGATTTCTTCTATGGCTTGTTATGCAGGAGGTCATGGTCCATGATCAAAATGGTCCCTTTTAGCTTAAAAAAATAAAAAAATGAATCTTTGACATTCCTGATATTTTAAACTTAAGGTAAAACACCAGCAGGCATTATAAAAAACAAAAGAAAACAAGGATAGCCTTAGAAGTGTTTTCTTTATACGTCAAAAAGAAGCAAAAAAGAGTTTAAAAATGTTTTGAAAAATCTCTTTCAGGTCATTTTTAGCCTCAGGAGAGGCGTTAAAGCAGTTGCTGTTCCCTGTGACCATGCGGGCTGAGGGGGGAAAAGAGAGGGAGTGCGAGAGAGAGGCCACTGGGTTCCAGTGCCCCACAGTGGTGGGCAAGACTGCTCTCTGCTCTGAGGGTTTTGGATGATTGGACATTCAAATCCAAAGAGTTGTCAGGACACAAATTACAACCACAATGTACTGTTTCATCAACTGCAATGCATTCAGAACTCCTCTCTCTCTCTGTGGCCTGGTGGCTCTGGTGATGGGTAGACAGACAGACTAACGGTCTTTCATTCTGTTCTGGTCTCGTGACATCACTGTTGCTGAACAGCGTTACATCAGAG